CGAAGTGCGAACCAACGTAACTGATACGAGGGTTCATACTGACGCATCAAAATCCACCCCAGCACCCGAACCTACGCCTACACCCAAAACAACCCAACCCGAGCCTACCCATAATACTGCACCACCAGCTTCACCACCACCATCTTCTCCTGGTCCTGCATCAGAGGAAGAAGAACCATTCCTTGCCGGGGAGAATATGACTTTTGACTCAGTCTACTATAGCCTGTTTCAAGTACAGAGTGATGACGATGACGACGCTCCTGTCACCAAAAGACATCTCAAGGAGCTCCATGACAAAATTGACTCGCTCATCGCCTCCTCTTCCACTTCTCAGTCATCCCTTTATGAAGCTGCCGTTCATAAGATTGTTGATGCTTTCTTCAAAGCTCAGCAAGATTCCCTTGCTTCTGCAACCACCGCCATAGATGCCTCTACAAAAGCCTGTCAGGCAGCGACCGTAAAAGTCGATAAACTATTTACTGATGCCTCTTCTCTGTTAAAGTCTTTACAGGAGAGTGCCAATGCTGCCAAGACTACGCTGGAACCTATTGTCCACCACCTGGCAACGTCAGTCTCAACTGAGTTGAAGTCCTTCACTTCTCTTCGTCAAACACTTTCTGATGACAACTCAGCTTTTCGCACAACCATTGAAGAGCGTCTCTCCAAGCTTCAAGAAGATTTGGCTGCCGAGAACTCTCTAATGGATGCTCTAGCCAGGAACACCACCGCTCTGAAGGTCAAGAGCGTTCAACTCTCCAACTCTCAATAGGAGATTGTCTTTCTTCGGTCTGAAAGGGAGGTGATAAAATCGTGTGTTTTGGATATCCACTCTGCAATTTCAAACATCCTAGAAGCACATGATCCAATTCTTAACTATACTATAAGGCATGACCTTGCAGAGAAGCTCGCTCCCGCCCTTGCCCTACTCAGCAAAATCGAAGGGCTTCCTGATTTCGTGTCCCTTCCGAAACAAGGGGGAGAAAAAGAATCAATGTCTCAACCACCTCCTACCTCAACAACAACTCACACAACCGAACCTCCACAGTAATTCAAATGTAAAGAGTTATAGAAATAAACACTTATTCATAGTTCGCTTAAACTAATGCTCTGATACCAACTGTGACATCCCCATTTTCGCGCCCAGAAAAGACCGATTTTGTTTATGATTTATAAAAATCAGAGTACTTCTTTTAATAAATATGTAGCGGAATTTGTTCCCAGAAAAACATGATAAATATGTTATCAAAGAATTTCCGAATAAACGTATTTTTATTCACTGTTAAACATTTGGTATGTCATCGTCAATATAGAAGCATAAGCATAAATAGAACTTACATTCATTTACACTAGTAATGTACATCTCTTTAATCTCTCAGTGTAACGTAACTTCATATCGACACATGTGATACAAATAAGTTGGAGTGAGCCAGGTTGGGTAATCTGGTGAGTACATAGGGTTTTCAACCCACAATAATATAATTATTATGTTTATTCATCAAACAATTAACCCAATTACCCATCCCCATTATCATATTTACTCTTAAGGATTTATCCTAAGAATTAGCTATTCCTCGTTCATTCATTCCTAAGGATCATCCTAAGGAATCGACACGAAGTCCATTGTCACCGAGTTTAGGCACTAAGTTTGCATAGTCCCTAGGGTTTATACAACAGGTACTAAGTCTGCATAGTTTCCCTGTTTTAAGTACTAAGTCTGCATACTCACCAGGGTTTGGGCATTAAGTCTGCATAGTCGCCAGGATTTGGGCACTAAATCTGCATAGTCACCTGGGTTTATCTCGTTTTATTGAAAGTATTGTTTTCGAGAGTCCAATCGCAATACATGTCAATGCGTTTTTTAGTACACCGGGTGAACACATCGTTCACAACACCTACAGGTTGTGAGCCTACTAGTATTTCACTAGACTGTCTAGAATAGTCTGTGGTTCTCATCCATACTCTGCTAGATGACGGGGACAATGCTTAGGTAAAGGCTTCTCTCATTGTTCACCTCTCACCCTTATCTCATAGTCTATATCACCTTCTCATCTCATCATCTAACTCATATTTCATCTACCCATGTTTTACCAAACATATTATGTAGATATAAATACATATACAGTTTAAATAATTTAAAACGTGTATAAAATCCTTCATCCAACATAGATAGCAAGTACACACATAGCATGCAGTTTATATAAAATATTTCATATCTATGTGTAAGATGAAAGTAACTATGCACTCACTTTTTAAAGTGATGATTTCAAACTCAAACAACGCTTCGCTTCTTAAAAGGAATTTCCTTCGACGAAACCTACTATTATTACCACTAGATTTTAGTCTAATATTTACCATGAATAATAATAATAATAATAATAATAATAATAATAATAATAATAATAATAATTATTATTATTATTATTATTATTATTATTATTATTATTATTATTATAATATAAGCGTTTAAACAATATTTTTCAATCATTATGTACAGACAGGGGCCAGACATCAAACACCGGAAGGCAGGACCATTTTTGCATATAGCACTTCTGAAATCCAACAACCCTATACGACCCTTAAAACCAGATTCCCCGTACCGCGACTAGTTAAAAAGATATTATAACTACACTTATATAAGTTATAAAAATAGCTCAAATATTTATTATAAGTTCATAATAACAATACTAATTTTAAATATAAACTATATTTAAAATAAGGTAAGCATAACTTACATACAATGGGGTTTTAGCTAGGATCCGAGCTCTGTAGGGGCAGAAGTTCGTCGCTGAATCTTTCTAAGAAATATCCGTGCAACGCTTTAACGCTCACCTTACTATTCTAAAACTATAGAAAGAGAAGCCGAATCACGAGGGACCGAAAATGCTCGGGGGATAAGAAGAGAAAGAGTCTTGAATCAAGAGAATGGTGCAAGAAATATGAGAGCCCAAGGCTCTTACTTATAGTAATTGAATTTTCAAAAACTACCCTCATAGTTATTTGATGATCTTATACTTATATAAACAACTAAACACCCATTTATAATACTATTTTAAATTGATTTAACGATATTTGTACAATACTGATGTCGAAAGTATTTAACACTAGTCTTATAATGACCGCATCATCGATAACTTTCTAATGATATATACATATGTATAGATATGTGTACGTATATATGATTTATACTTTATTTCAATACGTAAATATGCTATTATAATTTGTAACCCGTTCATACGAACACCATTTTTGACGCCCTTTATATCCACGCATAGGTGGAGACGTACTCTACAACTTTCATTTAGACTTCGTCGGCTAATTTGAATTTATTCTTATAGTTATATTCTTAACAGGTCGAGACCGGAAAAACCCGTTAAAAATTCATAACTTCATAATACGACGCCCGTTTTCATATGTCTTTTTACTATTGAGCTACTATTAATGAGATCTTCAGTTCTCAGTTTAGTTGCGTTGGCCAAAAATCGATCGATCTAAAATTCGAATTTCGGCTGTGCACCGTTGTGACAAATCTTAGGAAAATCATAACTTCCTCATACGAAGTCAGATTTTGACGTTCTTTTTATGCAGACTCTTGGTTTAACATATATTTACAACTTTAATTTAGATATCTAACGCTAAAAATTAGTTTATCAAAAATTCACTTTTTACGTTACGTGGTATCGTGTCAGTTTCGCCGTAAAATTTCAACGACCCATAACTCCTTCGTTATAACTTGGATTTCGGTGTTCTTTATATATATATGGAAACCTTGTGACATATTCTCCAACTTGGTTATGATTATTTTTTCTAAATAATCTTTTGTCGAAAATTCGTTTTCGACACTTATTGACTAGCCTGGATCTACGGGCGTTACAGAAGTATAATTGATTCATGTTAGAGTTTTCGGTATCGAAGCTTTTCTTAGGAATAATCTCACACTCATGCATCTCACTAGAAACAACCAAAGATTCAACATACTCGTAATTATAAATCTTTGTAGGATCACCTTTGTTGAGACCATGTGGATCATTGGCTCTCAGTCGAAGGATACTCTGTATTTGTCTTTGCTTTTTCAATTTCTTATTCCATTGTTGCTTTCTTCTCTTCCTTAGAAAGTTCAATAATTACACCTTTCCCATTATCTTTATCATCTTCTATTGTCTTGGGTTATAAAGATGAACTTGTACCACCAATTACAATTCCCTTCTTCAAAGGCATTGTTGTTGTTGTTGTTGTTGTTATTGTTGAGGTTATTGGATCAATCTTGGCAATGTGACTGGAATTTGAGTAGTTAAAACTTTTCCCACTACTTTCCATCTTCACCTATTTTTCCAGACCCTCCTTCGCCTCTACCAATGCCAACATGCCTTCTTTTTCCCCCTTGCACCCTTGTAACAACAAGCGGGGTACCCGTTGGCATCAATGGAAGAAGTTTCGCAAGAGGACCTAATTCTTTGTGAATTTATGACTCAAGAAAGCTAAACTTTTAACTGATGAACTTAGGAGTAAAGATGGATGATGACAAATATTTAGGATTTGACATAAGATCCTTTAACTCTCTCAACAATTTCGTAATATCACCAAACCTAGTAGCATCGACTTCAACATTTTTTTTTGAATTTTGGAACAAAAGAATTATACCCTTCAATAGCTTTTGTGACCGAATCAACAATTATATCGACCTTCGTATGAAGGATAGAATAATTGTTATTTAGAATGGAGATTTCTTTCGCCATGTCATCCCTCAACTCTTGGATTTTCAGGTTGACATTCTCAAGAACAGTCTTAACATCTTGAACATACTAAACATGTATGGATTTCGCAACATCCTTCAAATCTCTAAGGGCCCCATTAAAGTTCTCAGATTGAACTTTTACCCTTAGCACATTATTCTGGTCAATTTGATCAAGTTTTTCCTAAATTAGTTGCTCTTGAGCTTTCATCATAACATCCACCTCGATACCTGAAACTAAATGTTTACCTCCACCATCTGCTTGTAATTGTCATAATGAATTAAGCTTTTGATTCAGAATCTTAAATTGCTTCCCTGACATCAGCATGTGATCAGGAATGTCCTCCTCATTAGGATCAAACTCAATAACATCAAAAGAACCCACAAACCCACCATCACCAGTTTCATCATCATTAACTGTTTTGGGACATTCAGTGGATTGGGATGGAAATAATGAAGTAATGGGTTGTGACATGATATTATCAAAAGTAGGTGCATGAGTTGATGTAGGTGATTTGGTTGAAGTAGGAAGAATAAATGGAGGTAAAGAAACCAATTTATCAACAAGTGGTGTTTCAAAGGTAGATGAGAAAACAAAAGAAGGGTTACCTTGGCTAGCAGTATTCGAGACTGCCTCACACATATTGACATTTGCGTCCATATGAGATATGTTTGCAGTGATTCCTAGAGTGCGAACCTTCTCATGAAATAATTCGACATTCGACACTTCAGGTGGTATGACTTTAGCCTTCTCAGGAGTAAACGTCTTCGTTTGTTCACATGGATTGATGGGTGTGTCTACTTTAGAAGTTTCCAAAGAGCCATCAGGATTTCCAGTCGCCTCGAGATTCAACTTGAGTGGAGAATCCCTCACAGGTGACGAATGGCCCATTTGATCATCACGAATTGGATACTCATAAACAACTTCGTCATCCATTGAGTCATCATGAATAACCAACTTCCTGAGCTTCTTCTTCTGTTTATTGGAAAGACGTTTGGCCATGTCTTCTACCCTACGTTTCTTTGATGCTAGAGAAACAGGTACTTGAACTTCTCGAAACAGAACCCCCTTTCGACTGACTTGTGGCTTGACCTTAAAAGTGGGTGAAAAACTTCTCGATCTTTCAGGAGAATGGCGAGGTTTGTGAGCTTTTTTTTTTCAACTTTTTCAATACACCAGACTTCGAAGGTAGTACTTCCGATTCAAGTTTCGAAACTGGTTTAGGAACAACTATCGGAGGTGGGTCAGTGTGCACCTTCTTCTTTCTAACAGACCTAACAACCGTTTCGACATTCTCAGGTTGTGGTTTGGATGGAATTTCCGTTGTATCTTTCTTTGATCCTTTCTTTAACTTCGATGGAACAATGCTTTGAGGAAGTAAAACACCAGTTTCGATATCAGGATTAATGGTCTTAAAATAGCTTACCAAAACATGATGAGATTGATCAACCTTGCGAAGCATCGCATCAGGAATTCTTGCAACAGTTGGGAAAATTTTCTCATCATCTTCAACAGCTTTAGGATGATGAAACATCGAAAATTTAGCAGTTTCTTAATTGTCTAGAACCAAAATACCTTCCTTCTCATACGCAAATTGTAAAACTGGGCTCCAGTAACGACCACACGACCACACGTACGATCAATATTTTCACAGATTACAATAACAACGTAAGTCACAAAGACAATATGCATGATAATACATATCACATTATAAACAAACAGGACCCTCCGGTCCATAATGTACTAGCACCCCCAGGCCAATAATATACTAAGACCCTCCGGTCAATAGTGTAAATAAGACCCTTTGGTCATCAACAAGAATAAGACCCTCCAGTCACACACAAATTACAACACAAGTAAGTATAGTGAGAAGACTCGCCTCGAATGGCGAGCAGATCCTATAAATGTTGTTGCTACACTCCGATTTCTATCACTAAGCCAAACCCACAAATAACCCCATTAGGATCTACGAACAACCTTCACATTATTAGGTCTAAATATGGTCCACCAATCCGGTCCATAATTAATCCAAGACCAATGGCCCCACCAAGGTCTAATACCAAATGGGTCCACAAAAAGTCCTCTAATGGCCCAATTTTCCAAATTAGGCCCAAACCCTCATATAGCTCTTACCATAAATCCCATCTAAATATTCTAGTCCACATGATTTCTCTTGGATAGCACATCAATAGCCTAATCTCCAAAGCCCAATAGAAAGGCCCAACAGAAGGCCCAAGCAAATTTAAGGTTTTCACATAAAATGACGATTAGGGTTAAGTGTTTCTCACTTAACCTATTAAGGACTTAACCCATTAAGTCCATTCTTCCACTAAGCCATCATACAATAGAATCGTCATGAGTTATAACTTCAGTCCACTTGTCCAAACGTGGGTCCCAATAGGCCCAAACCAACAAACCCAATATTAGGGTTTTCTAATCCCTAATTAGGGTTTCTAGCCCAATAACAAACTAGCTCGGTCCAATAATAAGCAATTGGGCCGATTAAGGTTCCACTAGGCCAGGCACCACCCACTACCACCTCAGGTAGTGGTGGCCAGTGGCGGCTCACGGTGGTGGTGGTGGTCTGTTTCATACCACATAAACACACATACAACCTCCAAAATACCGAAAACATGGAAAACACTAGGCATACACCCCTAAACACACCCACAACCACCTCACATTGCGAGTGGCAGCAACTACCTTACGGTGGTGGTGGTGGGCTTTCCCTTAATTTAACGGTTAGATAATACGAAACCGTCCTCAATAAACACCATAACAGCCCGAAAAATGCTCAACACATAATGTCCAACCAACATTCAACAACTAATATCAACGAAATACACGTATATGGCAGCCAACGGGTAGCGGCGGCGACAATCAACACATCGAATGCCAAAATCATCAGAATAACGGAGAAAAAGGGATAAATGGGTGGTGAAGGTCCTTACCGAGAGCCCCATTCGATCACGACTCGCACATCTACAATCCCCGCTCCAACAGTTGGTCATGGTAGATAAGTCAGCTGCCACGACATCTCCGACATTAGGGTCGCGTCTCCGACGGCAAAGTAGTTGCTGGCAGCTCCGAGAAGGCTTCCACAGACGGTGGCGGTTGAAGACACAATCCATGGTGGTGGCGGCCGATATCACAAGATGTAGGGTTAGGATTCTGTGACAACTAAGGGAAGGAAAAGAAGGATACAGGGTTAAACCCGTGTCTATTCAAACTATGTTGCTAAGTAATCACTTTTGGTCCCTCCCCTCAAAATTATTTTAATGTAAATCCAAAAGTTACCCTTTAGCCCATGTCTCTATAAATTCCTTTCAATTTAGGTCCAAAACTTACCATACACACCCTGACTTCTAAAACCCTTCTCAATTTAAAACTAAAACTTACTCTTTTAACCCTTAAAATCTAAAATTATATCAATTAGCGCACTAACACCAACACCCCACTAAATATTATTTACTTTAGGATCACTACTCAGATTAACCCTTGTTTGTTTATTTCTATAATACATGGGATGTTACAACTCTTCCCCAATTAAATTAGATTTCGCCCTCGAAATCTTTCCTTACTATCCCTTATATGCCTAAAAACTTGAACGACATGGCCATATGCCCGAGCATAACCCCAAACTGTTCAATCCAATAGAGTTATCTCAACCAACTACATGTACAAACCACTAAGTTCACTTTACTCCAAGCAAGGATACAACTGATCTGCAGTCATACATCATGTCCGACCTCTATCGCCTAACACTCACTAACTCTATGGATGATGTGATCATTCTCAAAACCAAGCGAATCGACCCTACCAGGCCTAGAACATCATATACAACCCAACCACTCAAAGTGATATCCCATGAATCTGAAATGTCAACTCATCTATCCTTTACACAGATAGGGACAAACCCAAATTCAAGAATCTGGTTCAACAGCAAAATTGGAACCACTTATATCCAATCTGATACTCAACTAACGTACGACCTGTGATCCACGAATCTACGCATACATTACTTCTCCAATTCCTTCTGATTTGCGACAACCTCCCTCCAATTCGAGATATAAAGGATTGCAAACATCATGGAGACCCTAGTCTCGCTCCCTCACCAGGCTACCATGTTCCCAAATACTTAGTTGTTAAGGCTACCTAATCCCAATAACTCCACTGAGTCACCCTCTAACCAGTAAACTACTACATCTCCCCGTAGTTTACAACACTCTCTTACTGACTCGCGATTGTTGAGGCTCCCCGCAGTTTTACGATACTCTCTCACTGACTCGTGACTGCTACGACTCCCCATAGGTTTACATCACCCACTCACTCACTCGCCATGGGCTCTCCCCATGGTTTTTCCCTGATATTACAAAGTGATTACTCTCACCCGGATCCTCCCACTCTCTTACCTTCCCACCATCTCATCATTAAGACATCACCAAATTGCATTTGCTAAACTCATGCTCCGCGATCCATCATGGATAGGTGCACACACCCACCCAAATTAAGCATCACTACTCCTAACAACAATCGCCGCTACAAAACACTTTCCCTTGATACAATTCACATTCTTGGACCATCCCCGTCCGATGACACTTAGTTGATGAGTTCCCCCTAGAACAATATTCACTTGGTACTGCACTTTTCATCTCATAAACTCGAGCCTCAATATAATCCAACAACTTAGGGTATCATACTCGGATCCCCCGATATACTTATCACAGAATCTCACACTCACTTGCCTCAACCTCTGATCTTCCACTCACGACATCATACTCGGATACCGGGATACACCATCATAGAATCTCCTAATGTTTGCTACGACCAGTTGTCTTCTTCTCGCACAAATCATAACATCAAAAATACTCCACTCACAAATTGAAACACAAAGAAATTATAAACGACAGAGATCACATTGACGACCATCATCCTCTTGCTGATCAAAACCCATGTGAAGCTACTCATATTGACTCTAAAACTAATTGACAATTCAAATGTTGCTCCTCCCAGAGCATATATAACAATCTATACATCTACTGGAAAATCCCAAAAATTGAAATTGGACCTCAACAAACCAACTGCCTCAAACCCAACCATTGCAAACCTAAAGAATCCTTGACCATGATAAGATCCATGACTCACAGCTACTCGTCGTGGATACACTCGTTCTTGCCTGTACACGTACCAGATGCATTATCTCGCTCTGTACCTTGCCTCATCCACCAATAAAACCAAGTCTAATATATTTGTACCACAGATCCCCACAACCAAATATTCTAATCGCAACTTGAATAGATTGTTGATCTTCTCAACAAAATACTCAGTTCTCCCCCACTGAGGGTTCAACCATCACTAATTGACATATCAATAGTCTACTCTACAGACTGTTTCACCAAAGACAACATACTTGACTCTTGGAACGTATTACGTAACACTTGATGATCTTCCAAAGAATACCAAAAAACTCCATATATCCCGAATCTCAGATGAATTCCTCAGAGCTTCCCAATGTGACTGTCTCCAGTCACCCAGAATCTTGTCCGACTGCACATTCAATCATTCCGACAGTCCTAGAATAGCACTTTCTCCTTTTTTTGGAAATAATGGACCATCACACACTTCATTCTTTGAAACCTCAATCATCACCCCACTGTAAGAATCAACATAGCGCGTGAGACCTCACCCTCACAGTCGATCTGCTACATATCCACGAAAAATGTCATCTCGCTATACTCATCTCGTTTCCCTGAAACTGTTTTTGGTATACAACTTACCAAACACAAACAAGGCATACTTGAGCCCTCGCTAGTCACAGTTATCACACCCCAAAACTAAAAACGGTGGAAATGTTCTGGAGCGGAGGACGTCATCTACAGTATCACAACAATGAAAAGTAGCAAACAAGCAACAACATCATCCATTGCATTAATAATATAATTTTAAAACAAGTGTGTTCTGTCAAATTATAATAGACACTAAAGTATAAACAAAATGAAAGATGAGTCTTGAAAGAGCTCCATCTTCTCTAAACCTTGCATCGGTACCTGTCTATTGATGACCTGAGGATACAAGTTATTTTGAAAGAGAGTATCAGCTTTAAAGCTGGTGAGATCATAAGTATTTTAGTGTCTTAATTTGTATGTAAGTATTTGTACGTATATGAACTATAAGTATTAAAAATGTATATGAACTGTAAGTATAAAAATGTTTGTAAAACAACTGTAAACGTTTGAAAAACCCTAGAAATCCCTATGATTCCTACTACTATATAAGGGTGTCTTCTACCAAGACCTAACTGCTCTGAATGTTGCCTTCTACCAAGACTTAACTGTTCTAAATGTTTGTTTCTTGTAAAAGTGTGTAATTTTCCCAAGTGTAACTATCAATAACAAAATATAGTTTTTACATTTGATGTTTAAGTGAAAAGATCACTAAGTATATGTAAAAAGAAAATTAATGTAGTACTGTAATGTAGTGCTATAAGGACTACTGCTGTACTAACTACCTAAAACCAGATTTATATTAAGGCAT